GACAATCGTTGACCTCGCAACAAACTACAACCGAGTTTACTTGCTTCACAAGGAAAGTGAAGCAGAACGCCACCTCGAAGACTTCATTAGCGGGTTCGAACGCCAGTACGAGACCATAGTGAAGGTCATCCGTTCTGATGGAGGAAGTGGATTCCTGAGTGATCGTCTTAATCGTTTTTTTTTAACCGTGGCATTCGCCACCAGACGACAGAGCCTGGTATGTCTTCGTCTAACGGTAAGGCTGAACGATTTCACAGAACAGTAATGGACTCCGGACGAGCAATACTATGGGCTTCTGCACTTCCACAGAGGTTCTGGGGTGATGCTGTGCTGTACGTTAGCTACATTCGCAACTACCTACCGACGCGAGCAAACGCAGACCATGCGTCGCCCATCGAAGCTCTGTCTGGCAAAGTACCGACCGTCTGGCATATACTAAGATTTGGAACCAAGTGCACGAAACATGTTGCTCACTCTGCAAAGAAGTCCGCGAAGAAGCGTGCTGAGAAAACCATCGTGATTGACATCGACTCCCAAACGAAAGCATACAAAGTCTACATCCCGCGAACCCAGCGTATTGTGTCCACCACCAACATTAAAAACATTGATCGCCTGGATGCGCGAGCTGTGGGGCGGAAGATGGACGCTGTCGACGCGGAACAAAATGAAGTCGCCACTGAAATTGAAAACGAAGAACCAACTGGAAGTAGCAACGACGATGAACACCAAGATAGCACCCCAGCAGACGTCCACCAGCTCAGTACTCGTGCAATCCAGCGGGGTTTTGGACTGAACCGAGGCGCACGACCGCTGCCAAACGACGAGTTTACCTTACCTGAGTCGTACCTCAACGAATTTTCAACCCCAGTGACAGCACTGCTGACAGTTTCTTTGCAAGAAGGAGTCCATTTTCCACCATACTCGAAAGTGACAAAATCAAAGAACCGACAACAGTGAAGGCTATGAACAGCCAACACTGGCATGAATGGGAGAAAGCGATGCAGGAGGAGCTTCGATTGATTGCTGCTGATGCAACCTGGGAGATTGTCGACACCCCTCGAGATGGAAACTTGATTACCGCAAAGTGGGTGTTCAAGCTGAAGTTTGACAACATGGGCGAGCTGGAGCGCTTTAAAGCTAGACTTGTTGCACGTGGCTTCAACCAAAAGTATGGTGTTGACTCCGCCGAAACGTTTGCTTCAGTCCTGAAAATTGCTAGCCTACGAATGATCGTGGCTTTAGCAGCGCTGTGGCACGCGACTATCAGACAAGGAGACGTTCCGAACGCCTCCATTCGTGCCGCACTGGATCGACCGATATACATGCGACCACCAGAAGGCCTAACGCTTCCTAAAGGCAAGTCCATACTGCTGCTAAAGAGTCTTTACGGCTTAAAACAGAGCGGCAAACTTTGAAACGACGAGATACACAATTACCTCCAGGAGCTGGGATATCAGCGGAGCAAGCTCGACCCATGCCTGTACTTCCAGAGAATTGACGGCAAACTGACAGTGCTGGGCCTATACGTTGACGACGTCGTTGTTGTTGGACAACACGACAGTGATGCAGTCTGGACAATGCGAAGGCTTAACGACCAATTCCAAATCAAAGACCTGGGTGAAGCCAAGAAATGTCTCGGCATTCACATCGAACAAACCGATGCCGGCATATACCTCCACCAAAGCTCAAATATCAACAACTTATTAGCAAAACTTGGCATGGAGAACAGTCGCCCCGTAGCAACACCAATGGAATCGACTCGAAGCTTGCATGATGCAGACAGCAAACCCTTTTTTGACACCGGAATCATGCGGGAGACGATTGGATCGCTACGTTGGTTGAGCACATGCACCCGTCAAGACATTACCATGCTCGTATATTATCTAGCACGCTTTTTTGCGTCGCCAACCTCCACCCAATGGACAGCTGTAAAGCGCGTTCTTCGAAATCTTCGAGGGTCTCGAGACTTAAGACTCGCCTTCCTTCGACCGCAATCTCCACAACGGAACCTAGCTGTTGCCATATTCAGCGACGCAGACTGGGCAGGGGATAAGGAGGCCAAGTCCACCTCAGGAGGCCTGCTGACAATCAATGATATGCCAATCTCCTGGTATAGCAAGAAACAATCCACCGTAGCATTCTCGACGGCCGAAGCCGAGTATATCGCTGGAGCAACTGCAGTACAGGACTGTTTATGGGTACGGCAATTACTCGGCGAGGTCGGCCTGCAAACAAAGACTGATAACGTCATACTGCACACTGACAATCAGAGAGCCATCAAGAACATGGAAAACGAAGTGACTACATCCCGCATGAAACACATCAACATCAAGTTTCACTTCATACGCGATGCAATCCGCAAGAAAGATGTTGTAGTGACTTACTGTCCCACGACTGAAATGATGGCTGACATTCTAACCAAACCACTCGCTGCAACATTACACGGACGCAACACAGGTATGCTTAAGTTGGTCAAGCTAGAACAACCACAGTGCTGAGAAACAAACTGTTCCTGTCGAGGAGGATTGTTGGAGATCGCACCTTGTGCCACCTGCGATCTGCACAAGTGGCGCAAGTAACTACACAAGATCATGTACGACAGGAACCGCTTCCACAATCCCATATCAAGAAGCCAACAGTAACACCTATGCATGCAGAGCTAGCCGACGAGTAGCTAGCTAGATAATCTTCTCATTCTCAATCTTACCTGGTGCGAGGCACCACAACAAGGAGCAGCCTTGTTCTCACCAAAGTGCTCCTCGAACACAATCTGAAAAAGGGCTGCAGCGCGAAGTGTACTGCGATGCTGCCTTCGCATGCGAGAAGGAACGGAAATCGTCCTCTGGCTTCGGTGTGTTTTTGAATGGGTGCTGCATTGCGTGGGGATCAAAGAAACAGCCAATGGTCACTCTGTCGACTACTCAATCCGCGTACATGGCTCTGGCGTACGATATCAAGGAGTGTATTGGGCTCATACAGTTGCTGCTCGAGCTAGGGTTCGATGTTGTCACGATAATTGTCCACGAGGACAATCAATGGCTCGACATGTTGCAGAAGGAAAAGGTGTCTCGCAGCGCTCGCGTCACATTGATCTGCGCTACCACTGGGTGCGTGAGCAAGTACAGCGCGGGATCATTCAGATACGCTATTGTGCAACGGAGGACATGATGGCAGACTTGTTTACAAAGCCCCTGGCTCAAGCCAAGTTCAGCACGTTCATCACGCGGCTTGCCATGAGCCGAGTGGGAGTGTTGGGGCGTGCTACTCTGTAGGCACAGTGCGGCACATGCAGTGCAACTGGATACGCGTCATCTTGACGTACTACGGTATCTGCGTCATCAGTCTAGTGCAACGCGTAGTTCAGCTTCATGGAGGTCAGACATTGGACAGGAAGCTCGAGGGCTGCACACAGGAAGCGGCCGCTCAACAGCTTTTGCGTACCTCTCAATTCTACTCACTTCTCATTTCTCCGGGTTCGACTCACATACCAAGTTCCTATCTATCCAAAATATGCTGACAAACACTCGGCGCGAACAAAGTTGTTCGTCGCGCCTGAATCCAGCAGAGCACTATTGGGACGCTGGGCTCCCTCAACGTGAAGACCGACCACGATCAGTCGCAGGTCACTGCCGGAGGTGGTGGCCGATAGATGTGCACGGAGCACAGGAGGGCCAGGAGGAGGTTCCGCCACCAGAGAACAATCCCCCCTTCCAGATCCAGTAGGGCGCCCCGCACGTACTGGTCGTCGCCGTTTTTCGCAGAAGCAACAGCGACGTCGTCCTGAGAGGTGACGTTCGCCACAACCGGCGCCAGCGCGCGGCACACTACCGCACGATGTCCAGGCTTCTTGCAGCGGAAGCAACGCAACGGACGCGGTGTGCGTGCAGAAGGTTGAGGTGGAGTCGACGACACCGGAGCAGGACGGTCGCGATAGTACTGGATCGCGTCCACTTCCATCAATTCTGATCCAGGCTCAGATACTAGAGGCCTGGAGACGTCGAATGCTTGCGAGGCCGTGACGCTGTAGTATTTGCGTAAAGCAATCGCGAAGGCTTCTCCGAGAGTACTCGGGGTCTTCCTCCTCAAGTAGAAACGCTGGTATCCAGCGTTCATCCCGGAGCCGAAGATGTGGACCCGAGTCGCCATGTCAACGGGGTAAGTTGTGATGCACGACACGAGGTGGCGTGCTCGTTGAATATACTCGAGCATGGACAAGCGTCCCTGATCAGGGACAGGAAAGCGGACCGTTGAGCCGTCCCGTCCTGTGGTGGCTCGAACGCGAGCCGTGGATCGTTTTTAATGAACGCCATCGTTGGGAAGCAGGCGGGGTCAGCGACGACCAGTTTCCATTTGTGCAGCACCCGGACAATATAATGTGTGAGCAACCACAACTGTCGTGGCTGCGACTGCAGAGACTGTGAATGCTCCAGCTGCGTCGGTGGGTGCTCGGAGTGTTGTGCCGGGACGGCTCCACGATTGCAAAGATAAAAGTGGTCCAAGTCGCGCTCTCGCCGCCGAGCTTCAGCTGACGGTATAGGAACGGGGATTTCAAGTGCTACTTCCTCAAATAGGAGAAGTCGGCCCTTCTACGAAGAGCTACGTAAGCGACGCCAGTTCGGCGTAAACTTTAGTAAAGCCATACTTGGTAATTTCGTACACTTTACTTTAAGCTTAAGCATTGCTTTCTGCCCTAGCGAACAGTTTGCTGTCAAAAAAACAACGCGGTGCCAGCATTTCATCGATTATGTATTTCACAAATCTGAATAAATCAGACATGTCGCATGAGCATCAAAGGTTATTCCGTCATCATTTCGATTTTTGCAAATTCGATACGATCGCTTTGTATGTACAATTTCATTATACAGGTTTTGATTAAAATTATCCAGTCGATATTTTTGTTTACCCGTTACAAATGGTTCCCTTAAAGACTTCGAGCCAGAAGTTCAGACCGCGCCATTCCTGTAGGTTCGAAGCGAAGCTAAGACCGACCAAGCCACAGTATGTGCATCCCCATCTGTATCCCCTGCGACGACGACTTCGCCTGTTGCCTCTGCGGCTCGCTCACCGCGATCTGCTGCTGCTGTGGAGGGGACGATCGCCGCCGAAATGACCACCTCCGTCACGCTCCTCCGCCCGACCGCGTCGTCTACGTAAATCCCGTTGTAGTCCAGCACGGCCCCCCGCACCACGGCCACCCTCCCCATCACGGCGGCTACTACGACCGAGTGTGACTAGAGCGGCGTTCGAGCAATGGGAGACCCGGGAATAGCCGTGATTCACGGCCCGTGAAACGAGCTCCGCCAGCGTTGTAAAATAATATCACAAGCCTAGAACACGAACGTCTGTGCAGCAGTACCAGTTTATAGACATCAAAGCCTTGATTTTTGGATATGGCGGCCATTGTTGTGCAATTTTGCTTGCTCACTACTGTGCCCCACAAGAACTCGTCTTTCAGCCGTGGTACGTGTTGAAATGAACCCCACCCGGACAATTAACCTCTACAGTATCGCCGTTGCATGCAATGAACACCGGGGCCAGCAATTTCCAACAAAAACCTGAGCGGGTTCCCGGCTCACCTTCAACTGGCAGTGGCACACGTCACAGATGGTTGTGATTGGAGTCTTAAACTGAAAATCCATACGCCGTCTGTACCCACGTCTCCCGCCCAACTGTACGACCTGATCTGCTGGGTCTTTCATTCCCCAATCTGAGCTCGAAGCGCTAAACAAACCGAAGTACGATGTGCATCCCCTGCTGTTGCGAAGATGGACCCGACGACGGATGCTTTTGCTGTGGTCCGTGCTGCGATTGTGGTGGCCCCGGCTGTGACTGCTGTGGAGATTTGGACTGCTGTCTTTGTGGAGCCCTGGCGGCCTGCTGCTGCTGTGGCGGAGGTGGTCGCGATCGGAACCCTCCTCCCCCTCCGCCCGAGCGCGTTGTGTACGTGGAACCAGTCATTGTGCAGGGAGGGCCGCCACCCCACCGCGGCTACTACTAAGCGCAAAAACACACAAGCCATAGAAGGAGCACAAAGGACCCCGTTTGATGCTGAATATCGCTGAGCTCACAGGTTATTTGTGTGCTCTAATAGACCTAATCCGACAGAATCTTTACTCAATGCGTAGCCTATACGTAGCAGTGCGCTGGTCGGGACGGGAGCTTCATTCTTGAATTGTGCAGCAGTCTCGGAACTCGATAAACACCTGCACTTCCTTCTGTTGCGTCTCCACTGTACTGCTGTCGGTCAGCTAGAAAGACGCGATAGACGAACACCGGGACTGCCAGAGCCATATTCAATCCTCCGAGTTTTTCCAACCGGAAGCTGGCGTCTTGGGTCAGCGGTTGCCGAACTTTCAGCACCAGATCGTCGTCCGGCCTAGCGCTATCCATCCCTGCAGGCGGAGCAACCTTTCTACTCTCTTGTGAAGATGACGGACTCGACAGCTCTTCCTCGATTGAATGCGGCACCCACTGCGCCTGCCTCACATCGTTTGCTTTACACACCGCTTGCTGGTCGTGAACTGGGCAACTATCTCTGGATCTGGCGCTGCCCAGGTCCAGCGTCACGCAGTCCACCTCCACCTCTTGTGTTTCCCTGATCTCCGCCTGCTTCAGACTTTGCCGTCGCATTCTCATGTGCATCTGCGCCTCGAAGACATTCTTCATGGCCTTGTCGCGCTCCTGCTGCCGCCACTTGCGTCGTCGCTTGATCATTGCCTTTGGCACGAGGAAGGCAAATGCCTCGCGCTGCTCTATGTAGCTGTTTGCCGCCAGTTTGCCACTTCCTAATAAGGAAAGGAAAGGTTTGGCAAGATGGCAGTTTGCATGGTCTTAAGAGCTCTCCACTCAGAGTTCGTATACTGGCAATACTTGCGGGTGCATCATGTTACCGGGTTGGGCGCAAATTTGAGTAAAAAGACATCTTAAGGGAAACAAGCACTTCAACACAGCCTGGTTGGCTGCAGCTTTGTGTGGTGCACTTACGATAACACATGTGGAATTGTCTACTCTTTGCTCATCGTGGGCAAGAAACACTCGATATTTCTTACTAAAATCAAGTGTGCGCGCTTCGCAGATTCATCAAGCGTTGGACATCGGCGGCAAGTATCCACACACCTGTGAACAGCTGTAGCGGCTCCGAAAGTCGCCGCCGCCAGAGCTCATCATTCCTCAGTTTGCCACCAAATAGCAACAACTCCAAAAACTTTCATCCACACGAACTTGCCATGTGCATCCCCATTTGCTGTCCGTGCGACGGTGACGATATGTGTTGCTGCCTATGCGGCTCGCTCACTGCGTGCTGCTGTTGTGGAGGCGGCAACGACCGTCGCGACGACTACCGCCGCCAGCCACCACCGCCCCAGCGCGTCGTCTACGTGCAGCCCGTCGTCGTCCAGAAAGGTCCTCCGCGTCACCACGGTCGCTATTAAGTGACACGTGACGCTAGACACAGGAAAACCAAGAACAAACAGCCGGACGTGCGCAACGATGTCGCAACGACAACAACATTGCTGTAGGGCCAAGCAAGCGGAAATTTTGATAAAGGACTGGACTTCCATTCACGAGACTTGGCAAGCGACTACCTGTACCATACGAACTTGTACCGATAATCATCCATCATTGGTTCGAAGAGAACGTTTTTTCTTCTTCTTGCAGTTCATAGGCTTTATTTGCATTTACATCGACACAATATGGAGTACGCGGGGCTTCTGAGAGCTTGGCAACGCCTCCTTTTTGCAACAGCTAGGCGTTATGGAGACGGTTCTCGCGCTCTTGGAGCTGACGACGCAGCATCTTGCCCGACGCATTCTTCGGGATCACGTCGATGAACTGCACCTCACGCACCTTTTTGAAGGGAGCCACGTGCTCAGCCACGTAGTCCATGATATCTTGCGGCGTCGGACGGCTCGGGCTGTCCGGGTTTTGCAGCACCACGAAGGCCTTGGGGATCTCCTCGCCCTGTGCATTCTGTCCGCGCACACAGCAACAGTCCGCAATGGCCGGATGATGGTTCAGCACGTCCTCCAACTCACCAGGAGCCACTTGGTGGCCCTTGTACTTGATAAGCTCTTTGGCGCGGTCGATGACAAACACGAAGCCATCGTTATCGATGTAGCCAATGTCTCCTGTTCGAAGAAATCCGTCCTCAGTGAAGATATTCTTATTGGCCTCGTGGTTGTTCTCGTATCCCAGCATGACCTGTGGTCCGCGGTACATTAATTCTCCCTCTCGATTCGGTGGCAAGTCTCGATCTGTGTTCATACAGCGGACACGGAGCTCGGTATTCGGCACCAGTCGACCGGCACTCCCCTGCTAGCCACAACCAGATCGACGAGTTAGCTCCATAGTTGATTCCTGCATAGCCATAAACGTTTGGTGCCTCGTACCGGCTTACGCGTGTGGTCCTCGCCGTAATTGACAGCAGGAGATAGCTCTGTCATGCCGTAGAGTTGCTTGACATTGAGTTCCAGACGCTTGTGTACCAGACTCTCAACTTGCTTGCCGATCGGCGCACCACCGGAAACGACGAACTCTGTCGACGAGAGGTCAAATTCCTCCACTAATGGATGGTGCGCTAGAAACAACACTGCAGGTGGAGCGATGTGAGCTGTGCGGATCTGTACAACACACAAAAAAGAAATTAGTGGTCAAGGCTAAATCATGCAGAATAATGTTGGGGTTAGAGCTCACCTTGTACGTGGCCAATGCGGCGAGGAACGTGTCCGGCATGAAACGCGGCAAGATGACGATGCTCTTGCTTTGCAGGATACTGAGATGGACCAACATCATGCCATAAATGTGGAAGAACGGCACGAGACCCAGAAAGTTCTCTCCGTGGGGCTCCACGTGACTGACTTGCAGCGCATTTGCCAGCAAGTTCTTGGCACTAAGCCCCACTCCCTTCGGGTTGCCAGTTGTCCCACTCGAGAAGGGCAACATGAGCTTTAAGTTTGGGTCGATGCGCTCGTAAAAGAAATCGTGCTCAGTCTGAGCTGCCATGTCACTACAGAAGAACAATCTAGTGGTAAGAAATGGACTCGACAGACCCCAGACAAAGCTATCAGTCCATACTTGACGCTCTTGAGGTCGTGCGTCTCCGTTTCCTCCGTTGTCCCCATCGTAAACGTGACTGTATTCGTCAATCCTGCCATGGATGCACCTTCCACTGCCACGTTCTTCAGTTGCTTGTGTGTAACCAGGTAGCTCGCCTTGGACTGCGTAAGTTGATACGCCAGTTCATTAGGCACGAACAAGGGCGATGCCGGTGAGCATACCGCTCCCATCCCCGTCAGAGCTGTACAACAAGAGTTTCAATAGTTAAGCAAAGTCTACTCGAATACTCCAGAAATTTTCAGGTTTCGGTTGCTCACCGAGCACGACCATGGGGTACTCGATGCAGTTGAACGAGTGCAGCACCACGACGTCTCCCTTACGGATTCCTTCCTGTGCGAATGACGCGGCGAGACGACGAGCTCCCGTAAAAAGCTCTCGGTACGTCACTGCTTTATGGGTAAGTCCACATACGAAGGCGGGTTTGTCCCCGTTGACGCGAGCTTGACGTGCTGCCACCTCCCAGATGGTGTGATCCGGGATCTCGATGTCCTCGTGCGGAGACTTGTGCACGATCGAGTCAAAGGCCTCGGTCGGGTCTGGTAAGTTCGCGACGTGTTCAGCGACTGCCGAGGACGAGAAATTGGGTAGACTGGGGGTCGTGATGCCCCGTGCGGACACATGCTGAGCCAAGGCCTCGCCAATAGCGCGACCGATAAAGGGCGCAATCCGCTGCGACCGAAGCGTGAGTGGACGCTCCGCGGCCAGACGCAACACACGCTTTGCCAGCATTTTCACTCGCCAGCAAGGGGGAGCTGAACTCCAGCCGATGGAACTGAGAATGAGGGAGCTCTATAGTGGCAGTGTTGAAGTTGGCGAAAAATGCCACATTTTGGCACAACTTGTGAAGCGCAAAGATCTACTTGTTTAATTTTGATTGAAGGTCATTTCGAGAGATCCAACTGCAAATACAGCCCCGCGTTCGCATCAAAATTGGAATATAATCATAGCTGGAGCCGATTCTGTGCAAAGCGCAGGTATTTTACAAGTATTACTTGTACCTGCGCTTTTGCCTCCAACTTTTGGTAATGTAACTTCAAGAACAAAAGAACTCATTGCTTGCGTGTACAAGGATTCCACACGTTTAACATGGTGCATGCACATGCATCGTTGGAAATGACTTCGCGCTTGCGCTCGAAATGATTGCTGTGACGGGGTCACACATTGGCTTCCGAGAGTTTACAAACTCTAAGTGAACGGCAGTTCACAGGTCCCCTTTGCCGAAGTGACCATATAAGGTAGGTTGTAAACTAAGTAAAGGCTACGCTTGCGCTATATTTACAAACTACAGTACCTCAGTTACAAATGTAACGAGGTACGTAGCCCTACGTGTACCCCTATTTACATGAAGTGTGACACGTCACATTTCAGAAGTATGACACGTCATACCTCGGGATATTTGGTACCAGGTACCAAGGTCGTCCAAAGCCAGCCATTGGCTGATGACATTGTTTTTCTATAGGTGACTTATAGTTTGTATTTAACTCGAGCTTTAAATATATTCAGTTTACAATCTACCTTAAATTAGTCACTTCGCTCCCTTTCGGTAAAAAGGGGACCTGTGAGCTGCCGTTCACTGAGAGTTTGTATACTCTCGAAGGCCACCTTCCTCTAGCGCAAGGTGCTGTGTGACCCCGTCACACCTGGTAGCACTTGTAGTCAGCCCACGCCACCGCGGGTAGACTACATTAAACCTCTCCGAAGTTCGTTGCCATAGATAGGAACGACTTCTCTTATATGAACGACTCACAGTTCGAGTCGGTTCGGAAGATGGCATGCATCTTCGGGATGGAGGCCCTGCATAGCCTGGTGGTGTCAACACCGGCCGAGCAGCTCGAGCGCGTCAGTGCGTTTGACGCCCACGAGCAGGGGCTCATCGCACATGATTGGCGTGCTGTAGCCCGTCGCAACGGCTTCCCGCGTGCGACAGCTCAGTCCCTTGTGAACAGTCGAAGCCAATACGGCTGAAGGTTAAGCCGTACGAAGGGAAGGAAGGTGAAAACCTTCACTTCTGGGTCCGAGAGGTAGAGCTCGCGATGGACGCAACTCTGATCTCGACCGAGTAGCTTCGTGTTGCTTTTGCACTCTCCAACCTTAGCGGTCGTGCTGAGGGTTGGGTGTACAGAGGTAACTTCCCCTGGATGTTTCACATCTTGGGCTTAGCTGTGCAAACAGCTCCGAGTCGCGTTCCTCCCGGCGGACTACGAGTACCGCCAGCGCTCGCGCTTCCTCTCGTGCAAATAATGGAGGCGTGAGCTGCACGAGTACGTCCAGGAGATACGGGAGATCACGGCGTTTCTAGTGGGAAACCCACATCAAGATGACTGTGTTCATGGACGGCCTTCGAGTGGGCCCAGCGAGCACTCAGCTATTCCGGGTGCAGGCAAGCTCCCTTGCAGAGGCGATTCAAGTGGCCCTTCAGGAAGAATACAGCCACCACCAGGCGCGTACGCCGGCATCAGCATGGCCTGGGAATTCTTTGTCGAATCCCGGTCGAGCAAACCCTAACGGACCAGTTCCCATGGAGCGCGGGTCCGCCGAGCTGCGCGACATCCGCTGCTTCGGCTGCGGGAAGCTGAGCTACTTCAAGCGCGACTGCCTCGCGGAGAGACTCCGCAGAATGGACTTTCCCCAAGCCCGTTCTCAAGGGTCGCTGGCAGAAGCCATGATCCCGAGGACAGGGGAACGCGGGAAACCAGTAGGGGTGGGGCGCCCTATTGGGGAGGAACTAAGTCTTCGTGAAGGTGCGCGGGTGGCGCGTACCACGAAGACTTAGCTTCTGAGAGTCTTCGCACTCTCGAATCGGCGAAGAGCCGCGGCGGGTTGCTCATAGTACACGGAGGTGTACGGGGATACGATCACACCTTTAGAAGCTTGATCGATTCGGGGGCGGCGAAGCATTTCGCACGCCGCCAGACGGCTGCTCGTAATAGCAACAAGTTGTCCGATGCTTTAGGAGAAAGCTAGGTCACCGGGACGGTGTCAGTGCGACTGGCCGACGGGAAGATCGTTACTGTCCCCAATGTCCAAGTGGATCTGGCCGTGAAGTTTAAAGACCTTTACAGCCCAGAATAGCTAACTGTTCTTGACATGGATTGGACTCCTCTACTACCGGGTGGAGCCCAATGAGCCTCCACGGATGGTCGTACCCAACGACGAGAATCGGAAGCTCGACATTCTCGCAGAGGCGCACGACGCGCCCTCCAACAGCCACTTGGGCCGCGAGAAGACCTTCCTGTCGGTCTCTCAGGCCTTCTGGTGGACCCATGGGTCGCCCAATACGTGAAGACATGTGAAACATGTCAGCGGGTCAAACCCGCAGGGCACTCTTCGGCTCCACTACAGAGCCTGCCCGTTCCAGCTGACAGTTGGAAGTCGATGAGTCTTGACTTCATCTTTGGGCTTCCCGCCGATGGACACGGCAACACCGGAATTTTGGTGTCCGTGTGTCGGCTGAGCAAGATAATACATCTCGCTTCAGTTCCCGTTACCGTCACAGGCGAACAAACCGCGAGGTTGCTCGTCGATGGCGTGCTCCGCTACCACAATCTCCCGGAGACGATTGTCTCGGACCGAGACCCGCGGTTCACGGCTGCGTTTTATTAAACGCTGTTTCCTTTACTGGGAACTCGTCTGCAGATGTCCACTGTGGACCATCCACAGACAGACGGCCAGACAGAGCGCGTCAATCGATATGCTCATGGACACTCTGCGTAGTGTGTGTGCGGAAGCACCACGTACGTGGTCGACGCAGCTTCCAGGTGCTGCGTTTACGCTCAGCAACGCGGTGCACGCGTCCACGGGGTTCACGCCGTTCTACTTTAACGGATTTCGGCACCCCAGAGTGTCTCTCACTCTTCGAAGAGACACTGACGCCTCTAGTCTAAGTGGGGGAGAGGCTCGGAAAGTTCTTTTCTCCCAGGTCTCGGAGGAGAGATCAGTTTCGCTGCGGAAACAAGTGAAATCGTTTGGGGATACCAAGCTGAGCGTTGTCAGCAGGGTCCGCGATGCCATGACAGCGACCCAGGATAGACAAAATGAGTACTCAGACAAACATGGAAGCGAAAACTTAAGTGTATTTAAAATGGGTGATTTAGTGCTATTAGATACGAGGAGCCTACCGCTTGACACTGTCAGCGCTGTCGGCAGCGACAAGCTGAAGCACCGCTTCATCGGACCATTTGCGGTCCTGGCCATACATGGTGCGTCCTACACCACCGATCTGCCTAAGTCAATGACGACGCACCCGACGCTCTATGTTGGACGTCTTAAGCGGTACTTTGATCCGCAGGGGGTTGCTGACTCGCAGACCCACCTTGGCCCAGCTCCTCGCAGCGAGGGCCGGCCACAGACGTCGACGAGAGCGTCGGAGCAGGCACCCAAGCCTCGGTCTGAACAGCAAGGCTGCGGTCAAGGCCGTACGCAGCAGGGGCCCCGTACGAACGGACCCCGGAGCCATACGCCGAGTACGTCGAGTACGCCGGGTACGCACCATACGCGTACGGCTGGGAGTGCGCCGAATGCGGCTCCGGACGTGGCAGCAGAGCCTCGATCCGTCGGATCATGCGGAAGGCCTCGTCTAGATCGGATGAAGAGGCACGCCGGTCCGCCCGCAGATGCAGGCTGGCGACCTCACGCTACAGCAGGTCCAGGCGCCCCGCAAGACGAGCGAGCTCGCCCTGATTCCCGGCCTGAGCGGCATCATCCCCGCCAGTCCCGAGGCCAAGTACAATCTCAAGCACGAGGACACGTTGACGGAGGCGGGGTCCTCTGTCGGACCCGCAGGAGCAGCACTTGGACGAGAGTGGCGTTCGGGGGACGCCGAGTACTCGTACTCGTATGTGGGCACCTCCGCCTCTGCTTGACCGGAATGGGGAGGTCCACTACCACATGGAGCGGATTCTTCGGGAGCAACGGAGTCCCGGTAAGCGACAGCTTCTCGGGAAGTGGCGCGAGCGCGGCGGAGGCTCCCTTCACAGTTAGAGCCTCGAGAAGCAGTCTGTGTGCTCGTCTTCTTGGTCTCCACATCCACCGTTGTCATGCCGCGTGGCACTGCGAAGAGCGGTACGAAGACACGCTCCAAGGCTGCTGTCGGAAAGGCGCAAGCCAAGAGCACTAAGCCTCGCGGCAAAGGCTCGGCACTTCAGGAGGCTAGCAAGGTGGCCTCCGATGCGATCGGCTCAGCTGGTGAAGCGGCTGTGGGCAAGCGTGCGAGCAAGCGCCGCAGTCCATCGCCCTCGGTCTCCCCAGACAGCCGTCCGAGCCCTCGGTTCGCTGAGCATAAGATCGACTCGGGCAGTGATGACGAGGCCGAGTCCGGGAGCACTCACGATGCTTCTGTGAGCTCTGCGGGAGGGCACAGTCCAGTGCCCAGCGAGAACAAAGACGACAGCGTGCAGTCGCTCGCTAGTGATCACGGTGGTCACAGGCCTCGAACGTCTGTGCACTCTGAGAGTCCTGTCGCTAAGGCTAAGAGCACTCCCAAAGCTGGCAACGATGAGGAGGAGAAACCTCGCAAACGTCTCTCGCTTGCCGAGGGTCTTGCGCGTGTCAAGACCGCTAAAGCCGAAGGCGCCAAGCCTTCTAAGAAACGTACTGCTTCGAAGTCTCCACTCCGCGAGGAGAAGGAGACTGGGTACTCCCATCGGGACCTCTTCGATTTCTCGGATGAAGAGGACGAGAAGGAGGAGGGGGAAGAGGCTATCCCTGAGACCCGGGAGATCACTAATGACCCCGACCAGCAGCAGGAGGACTTCCAAGCTGCCCAGCGT